TGCGTGACATCTTGGTGTTGGCACAGTGCCAGAAGGAATGCACATCTGGTTCAGTTGACAGACATCGTGTGACCTCGTGCGACTCTCGTCTGACAGTTGGCACAGTTCTCACAGTTGCTGACAGACGACAAGCCCAGCTTAGACATGGCCGTTTGAAGTCAGCGTTGCACGAAAGCAATATTTTGTCGCGTAAGCTAAATAGAAAGCCTCGTGTTTAACTTTAGGATCTCAGGAAGAACTTGCACATATATACAAGCTCAGGATGATGCAATGCCTTCATTGAATAAAAGTGCAATATCATTGAGCTTCGGTGTAATTTTAATTATCGGCATTTGATTTAATCAATGTAATTTATTAAAAAGTGTAAATTGAGTGCAGTTCGTTGTGCTCTTGCAATAAAATGGATACTACACAAACGAAGTTAATGATCACTCGATTCGATAAGATAAAATGAATCTGAAATCCTTAGCACACCAATAAATATATGATCATTGAGCCTGAGTGAGTGAGTGAGTCCCCAAGGTAGTGAGTTAATAAGTGAATGAATGAGTGAGTGAGTGGGTTTGAGAAGAGCGTATGGATCCGAGTTGAGTGGTTCCAAGTGTGTCATTTATTGGGTCTGAGTGGAGCGTATGGATCCGAGTTGAGTGGTTCCAAGTGTGTCATTGATTGGGTCGGAGTAGATGGTATGGATCCGAGCTGAGTGGTTCTATTGTGCCATTGATTGGATCTGAGTGGAGCGTGTGGATCCGAGCTGAGTGGTTCTATTGTGCCATTGATTGGATCTGAGTGGAGCGTGTGGATCCGAGTTAAGTGGTTCTAAGTGTGTCATTGAGCGTATGGATCCGAGTTGAGTGGTTCTAAGTGTGTCACTGATTGGGTCAGAGTAGAGCGTATGGATCCGAGTTGAGTGGTTCTAAGTGTGTCATTGATTGGGTCTGAGTGGAACGTATGGATCCGAGTTGAGTGGTTCTAAGTGTGTCACTGATTGGGTCAGAGTAGAGCGTATGGATCCGAGTTGAGTGGTTCCAAGTGTGTCACTGATTGGGTCAGAGTAGAGGGTATGGATCCGAGTTGAGTGGTTCTAAGTGTGTCACTGATTGGGTCAGAGTAGAGCGTATGGATCCGAGTTGAGTGGTTCTAAGTGTGTCACTGATTGGGTCAGAGTAGAGCGTATGGATCCGAGTTGAGTGGTTCTAAGTGTGTCACTGATTGGGTCAGAGTAGAGCGTATGGATCCGAGTTGAGTGGTTCTAAGTGTGTCACTGATTGGGTTTGAGTGAAGCGTATGGATCCGAGTTGAGTGGTCCTAAGTGTGCCATTGATTGGGTCTGAGTGGAGCGTATGGATCCGAGCTGAGTGGTTCTATTGTGCCATTGATTGGATCTGAGTGGAGCGTGTGGATCCGAGTTGAGTGGGTCTAAGTGTGTCATTGAGCGTATGGATCCGAGTTGAGTGGTTCTAAGTGTGTCACTGATTGGGTCAGAGTAGAGCGTATGGATCCGAGTTGAGTGGTTCTAAGTGTGTCACTGATTGGGTCAGAGTAGAGGGTATGGATCCGAGTTGAGTAGTTCTAAGTGTGTCACTGATTGGGTCAGAGTAGAGCGTATGGATCCGAGTTGAGTAGTTCTAAGTGTGTCATTGATTGGGTCCGAGTGGAGCGTATGGATCCGAGTTGAGTGGTTCTAAGTGTGTCACTGATTGGGTCAGAGTAGAGCGTGTGGATCCGAGTTGAGTAGTTCCAAGTGTGTCACTGATTGTGTCAGAGTAGAGGGTATGGATCCGAGTTGAGTGGTTCTAAGTGTGTCACTGATTGGGTCAGAGTAGAGCGTATGGATCCGAGTTGAGTGGTTCTAAGTGTGTCACTGATTGGGTCAGAGTAGAGCGTATGGATCCGAGTTGAGTGGTTCTAAGTGTGTCATTGATTGGGTCTGAGTGGAGCGTATGGATCCGAGTTGAGTGGTTCTAAGTGTGTCATTGATTGGGTCGGAGTGAAGCGTATGGATCCGAGTTGAGTGGTTCTAAGTGTGTCATTGATTGGGTCTGAGTGAAGCGTATGGATCCGAGTTGAGTGGTCCTAAGTGTGCCATTGATTGGGTCTGAGTGGAGCGTATGGATCCGAGCTGAGTGGTTCTATTGTGCCATTGATTGGATCTGAGTGGAGCGTGTGGATCCGAGTTGAGTGGTTCTAAGTGTGTCACTGATTGGGTCAGAGTAGAGCGTATGGATCCGAGTTGAGTGGTTCTAAGTGTGTCATTGATTGGGTCTGAGTGAAGCGTATGGATCCGAGTTGAGTGGTCCTAAGTGTGCCATTGATTGGGTCTGAGTGGAGCGTATGGATCCGAGCTGAGTGGTTCTATTGTGCCATTGATTGGATCTGAGTGGAGCGTGTGGATCCGAGTTGAGTGGGTCTAAGTGTGTCATTGAGCGTATGGATCCGAGTTGAGTGGTTCTAAGTGTGTCACTGATTGGGTCAGAGTAGAGCGTATGGATCCGAGTTGAGTGGTTCTAAGTGTGTCACTGATTGGGTCAGAGTACAGGGTATGGATCCGAGTTGAGTGGTTCTAAGTGTGTCACTGATTGGGTCAGAGTAGAGCGTATGGATCCGAGTTGAGTAGTTCTAAGTGTGTCATTGATTGGGTCTGATTGGAGCGTATGGATCCGAGTTGAGTGGTTCTAAGTGTGTCACTGATTGGGTCAGAGTAGAGCGTATGGATCCGAGTTGAGTAGTTCTAAGTGTGTCACTGATTGGGTCAGAGTAGAGCGTATGGATCCGAGTTGAGTAGTTCTAAGTGTGTCTCTGATTGTGTCAGAGTAGAGGGTATGGATCCGAGTTGAGTGGTTCTAAGTGTGTCACTGATTGGGTCAGAGTAGAGCGTATGGATCCGAGTTGAGTGGTTCTAAGTGTGTCATTGATTGGGTCTGAGTGGAACGTATGGATCCGAGTTGAGTGGTTCTAAGTGTGTCACTGATTGGGTCAGAGTAGAGCGTATGGATCCGAGTTGAGTAGTTCCAAGTGTGTCTCTGATTGTGTCAGAGTAGAGGGTATGGATCCGAGTTGAGTGGTTCTAAGTGTGTCACTGATTGGGTCAGAGTAGAGCGTATGGATCCGAGTTGAGTGGTTCTAAGTGTGTCTCTGATTGTGTCAGAGTAGAGGGTATGGATCCGAGTTGAGTAGTTCCAAGTGTGTCTCTGATTGTGTCAGAGTAGAGGGTATGGATCCGAGTTGAGTGGTTCTAAGTGTGTCACTGATTGGGTCAGAGTAGAGCGTATGGATCCGAGTTGAGTGGTTCTAAGTGTGTCACTGATTGGGTCAGAGTAGAGCGTATGGATCCGAGTTGAGTGGTTCTAAGTGTGTCATTGATTGGGTCTGAGTGGAGCGTATGGATCCGAGTTGAGTGGTTCTAAGTGTGTCATTGATTGGGTCTGAGTGGAGCGTATGGATCCGAGCTGAGTGGTTCTATTGTGCCATTGATTGGATCTGAGTGGAGCGTGTGGATCCGAGTTGAGTGGTTCTAAGTGTGTCACTGATTGGGTCAGAGTAGAGCGTATGGATCCGAGTTGAGTGGTTCTAAGTGTGTCACTGATTGGGTCTGAGTGAAGCGTATGGATCCGAGTTGAGTGGTCCTAAGTGTTGATAACAAACTAGAATTCTTGTTTCTTCATTTATTCTTATTCTTGAGTCTAAGTTTTAAACATTAGATTGACTGTAAGAGAATGGAAAAAATATAATTAAGTATATGGTCAACATGTTCCCTAAAGTTACACATCTACAATATAGTGACAAACATTTTGGACAATGTAAAATGTAGTACAAACAAACTTGAAAACTTTCACAATACCATGTGCAAAACCAGTATCTTAATTACATTGAATAAACAGCAAGCTTAATATTTCAAACATTTTTCATACCAAACTTTAGGCCAAAAAGAATACTTGAGAATAAATTTTGAAGTCAAAGCCAATTTCCACAAGTCAAGTCCAAAATAGCTATAAAGCCTAAATTATGAAAAATTATCTTATTGTTTGGTACAAGTTAAGAAAATGCATTAAATTCCTCCAAATGAATTGTAAAATAAGTTAATAACATTTGGCTTACCATTACTTTAGACCCTCATGAGTCCTGCCTGTGTCACATGTGCTTGCAGCACAAACCACATGGTCATTCTGTACCCCAAGAAATTATCTCCCCTCATCTTAAGGTTGACATAAAATGAGCACTTCATCAAAAATGAAATGTGGCATTCCAAAAAACTATGAAATAGAGATAAACCTTTTATCCATTACTACTAATTAATGTTGCAGAATATTTGTGCAATATGAAATGGTAACATTGTGGAAATATTATTAACTAAAATGTTTACTTCCTAAACCAATTGAGTCATTATAAGTGAAATAAATGAAAATCATTATTTTGACCTTTACACACCGGTCTCCTAATTGTAGAATCTGCATGAAACAATTACAAATGATTGTACAAAAATGGTCAAAATTGTCTTGATTTTAAAGTCATTTCTTACTGGAAAGAACTGGTGTCTTCATTTTCACACAAATAACACCAATAAATATTTGAGGTACATTCACAGTTTGTCATAAGGTCTTTCAAGAGTTCTGTTAATTTTTAACCATGTACAATGATACACAATTTGTTTATAGGACGGACAAGCTCTGTTGTAGCTGTCCTCACACGCACTAACACGTACAGATCCCTTTTGTCTGTCATGACCTCCATGATACGTCCCAGTGACCATGAATTACGAGGAGAACTGTCTGCTAGAAGAACAATGTCTCCAACTTTAAGATTGGGCTTCCTTGCAACCCACTTCTGTCTCACTTGCTGCATGGTAAGGTATTCCTTTAGCCAACGCTTCCAAAATGTATCAGCTAAATACTGTACTTGCCTCCATCGTCGACGAGAGTAGACATCGTCTTTACAAAAAGTTCCTGGTGGCATCTTTTGACCTGAACGCAGAAGCAGAAGATGGTTCGGTGTGAGGGGGTTTAGATCATGAGGATGATATGGTACATCAGTGATAGGTCTCCCATTGAGAATAGTTTCAACCTCACAAAGAGAGTACTCAGACCTTCATCGTCAAGTTTGATGGTTTGTTCATGGACAACTGCATGTAAAACTTTCCTTATTGAACGAATCATACGTTCCCAACTCCCACCATGATGAGATGCTGCAGGAGGGTTAAAATGCCAATCAATTCCTCTTTCTAGCAATGATGAGTGCAACTTGGGTTGGTTCAATTTCAGGATTTCTTCTTTGAGTTCACGTTCGCTGCTAGTGAGATTGGTCCCATTGTCTGACCTGATCACTTCTGGTTGACCTCGTCTTGATATAAATCGTCGTATAGCATTGATGCAGCTGTCGGTGTCAAGAGAACAAGCTAGTTCTAAATGCACTGCTCTCATGGTCAAACATGAGAAGATCACACCATACCTTTTCATTGTTGCACGACCTCTTTTAACTAAAAAAGGTCCAAAAAAGTCCATACCCACATGCGAAAATGGTGGTTTGTCAGGTTGAAGACGGTCATCTGGAAGGTCTGCCATCTGTTGTTGTCCAGTTGGTGACTGATACTTCTTACAAATGACACACTTGGAAACAAGACTCTTGATAATAACTCCAGCTCCCAAGATCCAAAAGCGTTGCCTCAAGTGGGCAAGTATAGCATTTCTTCCCATATGACCTACAGCCGTGTGAGCATCTTTGATCATCAACTTTGACAAAGGAGAAGTTTTGGGTAATACAACCGGATGTTTAGAATCATGTTGAATCTTAGCTCTTTGAAGACGTCCACCGACCCTTATGATTCCATTTTCAATGAAGGGATCTAACTTGTACAGAGGACTAGATTTACTGACCCTTCTTCCATTGTTAACTTGGTTTTTGTTTCCTTTCAAAACTTCAACCTCTTTCCTGAAGTGTTGACCCTGCACATGACGAATAACTGCAACTTCTGCATCCTTTAGTACTGAAACTGTCAACATGGGCTTTGAAACGCACAATCCTTTGGGTTTATTTGCACCTGCATTTGATTCCAATTGCTTTTCTTTTACCTTTCTTTTCAGCTCTCTCATAGTTAAGATGATCCATCCAACAGCCTTTCGGAGTCGTATCCAACTTGAGTAATGATTCAGTAATCTGTCCATTACATCTTGGGACTGGCAAGTTACTAGACAACTTACAGAGTTCTTGACCTCTGGGTCTTCATCAGGTACAGACACACATATGTCTGGAGAAAGGGGCCATTCAACTCTTGGTCTCCACAGAAACCCTGGTCCTTTAAACCACTGTTGCGCAAGTTTGAACTTGTCAAACATCATCCCTCTTGATGCAACGTCTGCTGGATTGAGCTTAGTGTTGACGTACTTCCACTGCTCGACTTCAGAACCCTCATGGATAGTTGTGAGCCTATTTGCTACAAAGGTTTTGAATCTTGATGTACTGTTATGGATATATCTGAGCACCGACATACTGTCAGTCCAAAAGAAAGTCTCATCTATTTTGTATTGTAGCTCTTTGGTCAATAGCTTACACAGGCGAACTGCAACTGTAGCAGCTGTTAGCTCCATACGAGGTATTGTCATTTTCTTCAGGGTGCCACCCTTGATTTAGCCATTACCAAGACACAGTGAACATTGTTGCTTACATTTGTGTAAGGCGAAGGTAGGCTACAACACCATAGCCAACTTCACTAGCATCACAAAACAGATGCAACTGATACGATGTACTTTTTACCAAACCCTTGTGGTTTGTAACACCGTTCTACTGCTATCTCATCCAACCTTGGCAAGTTCTTTAGCCACTGAAGCCAAATTGTCAAAGAGGGTTCATCTATTTCTTCATCCCAACCAAGATCTTTCCTGCATAATTCTTGAGAAGATTCTTGGCAATCAACAAGTAAGGTGCTACAAAACCCAGAGGATCATATACACTACTTACAACAGATAATATGCCTCTTCTGGTGGTTTTCTTATTCTTGTCTTGAATCTTGAAACCTAGAGTATCAGAGTCCACAAACCAAAGACACCAAGAGCTCGCTCGCTGGGCAGAGATTCACATTCCAGATTCAATTCCTTCACCTCCTTGGCTCTCTCCTCAGTTGGGATAGTTTTCATTACAGATTTGCTATTGCAGACCCATTTTGTCAAACGAAACCCTCCATCTTTGCAGAGCTTTGATAGTTCATTGATTAGGTAGACTGCCCTTTCTTCATCTTCTACAGATGCTAAACAGTCATCAACATAGAAGTTGTTCTCAACCATGTTAACAACTTCAGGAACATATCTTTCTTTGTTGTCCTCAGCAGTCTGTTGCAAAGCGAATGTGGCACAACTAGATGAAGAAATGGCCCCAAACAAATGGACACACATTCTATAAATTTCTGGCTTCTCATCACAATCACCTCTTGGCCACCAGTAGAAGCGAAGGTAGTTACGATCTTCGTTGGGTACTTTCACACGATAAAACATAGACTCAATGTCTCCCATAAACGCAACTTGGTCTTGGCGGAACCTGAGAAGAATGCCAATCAAGCTGTTTGTCATGTTTGGGCCTTGTATGAGCATATTGTTCAAGGACACTCCTTGAAAACTAGCACTACAATCAAACACTACTCTTATTTTGTCTGCCTTTCTTGGGTGGTATATCCCATGATGAGGTATGTACCATATCTTTCCTGGCTGACCTTCCAGCTCATCAGTAGGTACCTTTTCGGCATACCCCTTGACTAATATGTTTTCCATGAATGTTTCATAGTCATCATGAAACTTTGAATCAGTCAAAAACCTCCGCTTCAAACTGTCTAGGCGTTTTAGAGCTTGCACACTGTTGTTGGGCATTTGTACATTGGAGCACTTAAAAGGCAGGTTAATGTAATATTCACCTTCTTGCAAAGAAACAGACTCGGAAACCTTGTCGAGAAACCTTTTGTCCTCTTGAGACATTTCTGCTTTGTCGTCAATGGATCTTTCAGGGAAGTCAAAGTTTATGCTCTTCCTTACCAAACTATTCAATTCACTTATTTCCTCAATATTTCTGACACTTACAATGTCTGTTCTCATAGATGGAAAATGTTGCTTTTCTCCTTGTCGTGACGGTCTGACAACATTCCATAAAATCCATCCTAACCGGGTTCTGGTTGCATGAGGGCTGCCTTCAGGACCAACTTTGACTTCGAATGGAGAGTAGGCATCTGGGGCATTTCCGCCTATCAAAAGATCAACTCCAGATTCAAGATGAGGTACATGAATTCCATCAAAATGAGGCCACTGTGCAACATCAGCATCAGTCGGGATGTGCCTGTTTGATACTGGGATATTGCTCCTAGAATACACTGTAGGAAGGACAACGGTATTCTTTAGATCCATATCATGAACCTTTAAACCAGAGACAGCACGAACAAAGGAAGTATGAGGTTCTCCAAGTGTGTCTATGGTTATTTCAACCTTCTTTGACTTTCCATTGCATCCAAGCTGATTCATCAGGGATTCTGAACAAAAGGAGATGGTACTTCCAGGGTCCAGGAATGCATATGTCGATATCACTTTTAATGTATCTTTGAATGTTACTTTCACAGGGATTACAGCAAGTGTACAATCACCTTTACTGTCACCGGTCTCCATATCTTCATCAGCTTGACCTGTACATGCACTTAAACATTTCAGGTTTGTCTTTGAGTCAATATGCAACAGTGTTGAGTGGTTACCTTTGCAGTGCTGACAGATGACGTTCTTCTGACATTCCTTGCTGCGGTGACCCTGTTCGAAGCAACGAAAACATAGACCTTTGGATTTTAGAAAGTTCAAACGATCAATATGTGGTTTAGAAGCCAACCTTTTGCATGAGTCAATAAAATGCCCACCATTAGCACAGTAGTCACATGGCTTTTGATCATTGGCATCAAACCTAGATGGTTGTTGGATACTGTAATCCTTTTCCATCTTGCTTGCATTTATCAGGTCAGTTCCAAACGTTTGCTTGGACTGAACCTTTCCTGTGCTGGGTTTAGCTAAAACTCTCCTGTAAGCTTGTGTCTTGTCATCTGGTCGCATGGCTTCTTTTCCATACATAGGATCCATGGCCTTTTGCGCTTCTCTACGGACAAACTGCACAAGGTTAGAAAATTCTATGGTTGATCCAGAGAGACGAATTTGTAAAACAATACCTCTCCATTTCTCCTGACAGTGAAATGGTAGCTTCATAACAAGTTTACGTATATTGTCAGGATATTCCAGTACTTTCACCGAGTGCAAACTTGTCACTGCATTGTGGCATTCGTTCAGGAACACAGCATATTCGTCCAAAGCTTTCGCATTATCTGCTTTAATGTTGGGCCAGCACATAGCCCTTTTTATTAGAGCATTCGCAATTGTTTCTTGATTCCCATACCTAACTTCAAGCTCGGCCATAGCAGCTTTGTAGCCACTGCTTGCATCCAAGTAACCAAAACCTTTGACAACTTGATGTGCCTCACCCTCAGTGAACTGCTCAAGATAACACATGAGCTCATCTTCGAACTTGAGTTGCTTATTATTTTTGTTCGAAATTGCCTCATGAACTTTTGGAATTCCAGGGGATTTCCATGAAACTTTTGGATCTCTGGCACTGGTTTACGAAGTTGTTGGACCATTGATACATACATGCTATCAGATGGCCTTTCATGTGCATAGGAAGTAAAGGAAGGTGGTCTTGGATTGCGACTAGCCTCTTCGGCTCTCTGCAATGGTGTGTCCTCTCTTACGTCATGATATTTATGTGATTCAGATATTTGGCTTTCAGGATCAACACTACATTTCTCAAGTGTCATATATTTTCTGTCAGAATTTTTATCATCCTGATCATTGTCATAAACATCCAATACCTTTGACCTGGCCTCGGAAATCTCTAATTGTGTTCTCAACTCCAGCTCCTCCTCCTTCATCTTAATTTCTAATTTAGCCTGATTAAGCTTTTGTTTTTCTTTGAGGGCTTTTACTTTAGCTTGAAGTTCTGCTTGTCTCTGCCTTTCAAGTAGGATTGATGAAGAAATAGTACTGGCCAAAGGTGACAGACCGGTTCTACAAGAGCCAGACCTTTTACTAGAACGACTGGGGAATAAAGAATATTCACTTTGACTTTGGATTGATCCATGCTTCATGAAAAACTGCTCAATGGCTGTCTTAATGGATGAAAGGATTTTATCTTGAGACCTACTCTCCTCTTCAAACTGGGTTAATTCAGGCTCTTTCAATAATTGTCTATACTCATCTCTAACATCATACAGGGTGTTATAGAGGAAAAGCCAAGATGCATATTCCCGTCGAACATCCTCAATTGTGTTTTTAGTCACAACTCCAGTAGCAATTACTAGGTTGATGTGGTCGAAATCTCTTTCAAGCTGGCGGAAAATACCTTGTATCCGCTTACCTTTTGTTTCAGTTGCATATGACATGCCCTTATCCGTTAACTTTCTTTGTCTTGTCTTTTTTCCTATTTTGTCCTTATTATCTGTCATATTTTCTTGATCCAATTCCTAAGTCTAGTAATGTCAATGCTATGTTGATAACAAACTAGAATTCTTGTTTCTTCATTTATTCTTATTCTTGAGTCTAAGTTTTAAACATTAGATTGACTGTAAGAGAATGGAAAAAATATAATTAAGTATATGGTCAACATGTTCCCTAAAGTTACACATCTACAATATAGTGACAAACATTTTGGACAATGTAAAATGTAGTACAAACAAACTTGAAAACTTTCACAATACCATGTGCAAAACCAGTATCTTAATTACATTGAATAAACAGCAAGCTTAATATTTCAAACATTTTTCATACCAAACTTTAGGCCAAAAGAATACTTGAGAATAAATTTTGAAGTCAAAGCCAATTTCCACAAGTCAAGTCCAAAATAGCTATAAAGCCTAAATTATGAAAAATTATCTTATTGTTTGGTACAAGTTAAGAAAATGCATTAAATTCCTCCAAATGAATTGTAAAATAAGTTAATAACATTTGGCTTACCATTACTTTAGACCCTCATGAGTCCTGCCTGTGTCACATGTGCTTGCAGCACAAACCACATGGTCATTCTGTACCCCAAGAAATTATCTCCCCTCATCTTAAGGTTGACATAAAATGAGCACTTCATCAAAAATGAAATGTGGCATTCCAAAAAACTATGAAATAGAGATAAACCTTTTATCCATTACTACTAATTAATGTTGCAGAATATTTGTGCAATATGAAATGGTAACATTGTGGAAATATTATTAACTAAAATGTTTACTTCCTAAACCAATTGAGTCATTATAAGTGAAATAAATGAAAATCATTATTTTGACCTTTACACTAAGTGTGCCATTGATTGGGTCTGAGTGGAGCGTATGGATCCGAGCTGAGTGGTTCTATTGTGCCATTGATTGGATCTGAGTGGAGCGTGTGGATCCGAGTTGAGTGGGTCTAAGTGTGTCATTGAGCGTATGGATCCGAGTTGAGTGGTTCTAAGTGTGTCACTGATTGGGTCAAAGTAGAGCGTATGGATCCGAGTTGAGTGGTTCTAAGTGTGTCACTGATTGGGTCAGAGTACAGGGTATGGATCCGAGTTGAGTGGTTCTAAGTGTGTCACTGATTGGGTCAGAGTGGAGCGTATGGATCCGAGTTGTGTGGGTCTAAGTGTGTCATTGATTGGGTCTGAGTGGAGCGTATGGATCCGAGTTGAGTGGGTCTGAATGGGTCATTGGGGGAATCAGTAGATATTGGCATATCTTATTTTCAATCTTCACCTTCCTTGTTCAAGTGGGGCGGTGGGGTAGTCTAGTGGTTAAAGCGTTGGCTCGTCGCGCCGAAGACCCGTGTTCGAATCCCCGCATGGGTACAATGAGTTAAGCCCATTTCTGGTGTCCCCCGCCGTGATATTCCTGGAATATTGCTAAAAGCGGCGTAAAACCAAATTCAGTCAGTCAGTCAGTCAGTCCTTGTTCAAGTTATCACAAAACCAATTACTTGTGACTATATCGGTGAGTGAGTGGTTCTGGGTGAGTGGGTGACTGACTGAGTGAAGTGACTTGGTCCGCTGAGTGATGTGGTTAGATCTGTGTAAAGTGGCGGGGTCCAAGTGATGTCAGTGGGTCTGAGTGAAGAGAGTGGATCTGACAGAGTGAGTAAGTGACGCAAACGTTGTATCCCCAATCCCTGCCTGAATTAGCAGTCTGATTTGGCGTTTTGACAAAATCCATCCGCCCAAACAGCGTCAACACCTCTACAAGCAGGAACCTTTAACATCCATAGAGAAACGCATAATGGGAAGGTTTTCATTCTGAAAGGAGCGTCTCCCCATGCACTAGCCTATCACTGGTAACAAGGAACCTTGTCTGATGGAGCAGTCGCCCTGAACGCGGATCAAGGACCTGAAAACGACAGACTCTTGACTTGCCCAACATGAGACAGATGGAAACTCCAGCCTCAGCATCCGGTGTATACAAAGCGTAACAAGGCAGCCAGTTAACGTCGAATCTAGACTTGCACAAGTCTCCAAGGTGATCATTAGTTGTTTAAATCATAATTTCTGGATTTGAGAAACCATTAAAACAAGTTGTCACAACAACCCATCTAAGTGTACTATCCGTTTATCCGGATTAACCTATTATAAGGATAGTACTTCTACACACATGTAGATTTATAATTCAGTAAATCCCGGAGCAAGGCTATGTCAAACCTCGTGATAAACCCGGGGTTTCAGAGGAACAATTGTATCTTGCATGACCTCATATTTTCAAAATATCGCCTTCCTCGTTCAAGTTTGGATTTAGATTACTCGTGTTAAGTGTTGAGGAAAATGTCACATGTGTTTGTACACGTGCATTATGACAAATTACTCTTTGGTAATTCCAAATAAACAATTATGGTATTTATTCACTCTAAATAGTTTAATCGCAATTGCTGTCATAATGAACTAAATTATATGATGTTTCGGGGATTGTGAAATATGCCTGTAGGGAACTATTTGGAGGTTCTGAGATTAGAGAAATTATATTTTCACAGCTTCAAACATACAATCTTTGTCAGCTGAGACTAGGGGGAGAATAGACGGAGTTGAGACTGGGATTAGTATTAACTGAGATGAGAAAGGGATGAGTATAGACGGAGTTGAAAATGGGATGGGAAGGGGTAGAGCTCAGACTGGGATGAGGATAGAATGGGATGAGTGAGTGAGTGAGTTTAGCTTCACGCCGCTTTTAGCAATATTCCAGCAATATCACGGAGGGGGGCACTAAAATTTGACTTCACACATTGTGTCCATGTGGGGAATCGAACCCGGGACTTCGGCGTGACAAGCGAACGTTTTAACCACTAGACTACCCCACCGCTCCAGAATGGGATGAGAAGGTGTGAGTATAGACGGAGTTGAGACTAGGATGAGAATAGACGGTGTTGAAACTGGGGTGAGTATAAACGGAGTAGAGACTGGGGTGAGTGTAGACGGAGTTGAGACTGGGGTGAATGTAGACGGAGTTGAGACTGGGGTGGTTATAAACGGAGTTGAGACTGGGGTGAGTATAAACGGAGTTGAGACTGGGGTGAGTGTAGACGGAGTCGAGACAGGGGTGAGTGTAGACGGAGTTGAGACTGGGGTGAGTATATACGGAGTTGAGACTGGGGTGAGTGTAGACGGAGTTGAGACTGGGGTGAGTGTAGACGGAGTTGAGACTGGGGTGAGTATAAACGGAGTTGAGACTGGGGTGAGTGTAGACGGAGTCGAGACAGGGGTGAGTGTAGACGGAGTTGAGACTGGGGTGAGTATATACGGAGTTGAGACTGGGGTGAGTGTAGACGTTGATGAGCCTGGGGTGAGTGTAGACGGTGTTTAGTCTGGGGTGAGTATAGACGGAGTTGAGACTGGGGTGAGTATAGACGGAGTTGAGACTGGGGTGAGTGTAGACGGAGTTGAGACTGGGGTGAGTATAGACGGAGTCGAGACTAGGATGAGAATAGACCGTGTTAAGATCGGGGTGAGTGTGACGGAGTTGAGACTGGGGTGAGTATAGACGGAGTCGAGACTAGGATGAGAATAGACGGTGTTAAGATCGGGGTGAGTTGAGACTGGGGTGAGTATAGACGGAGTTGAGACTGGGGTGAGTGTAGACGGAGTTGAGACTGGGGTGAGTATAGACGGAGTCGAGACTAGGATGAGGATAGACGGTGTTAAGATCGGGGTGAGTGTAGACGGAGTTGAGACTGGGGTGAGTATAGACGGAGTTGAGACTGGGGTGAGTGTAGACGGAGTTGAGACTGGGGTGAGTATAGACGGAGTCGAGACTGGGGTGAGTGTAGACGGTGTTGAGACTGGGGTGAGTATAGACGAAATATATAAACTGGGATGAGTATATAAACTGAGATGAGAAGCAATTGACAGATGGGACAGCGGCGGTAGTTTTAATAGAATATTACACCATAACATGCCCTTGGATCTGCCAAATCGAATATACCAGCGTTTTCGCGTGTGTAAAATATGACAGTAATTATCGTATAGTCGACCCCACCACAGCAAACTATTACAACACCGCATCCAAGCCTCATACCTGTCCCGTGCCAAGGCAGATTATATCCCATTATATCAAAGTTGATATATCGACTTTCATGTAACCCAGGACTAAGGGTACCAACCAATTACCTACACAATCTTCTTAAGGCTGGCGATACATGCCTTTAGCAACACGCGTCTTATTACATAAAATAACACCCATTTCTCCGAGGGGCCTCTTTCATTTCCTATGGTTTACGCATCAATCGGTGTTGTTGCATTGTCACAGACTTACAGTCTTTTATGAAGAACTGGCCTCCGGTCCACTAGCGGTCACAGTGAGAAAGGCGAGCTGACGAGGCGAATAATTTTCCTTTTATGAAAAAAATCTTATAATTATAAGACATTATTAGATTATGG